GTATGCGGGCCTCTCACTGTTGTGGCCTCTCCCGTTGCGGAGCACAGGCTCCGGATGCGCAGGCTCAGCGGCCATGGCTCACGGGCCCAGCCGCTCCGCGGCCTGTGGGATCTTCCCAGACCGGGGCACGAACCCGTGTCCCCTGCATCGGCAGGTGGACTCTCAACCACTGCGCCACCAGGGAAGCCCTAGGGCCATCATTTCTAATGATGATGTTGATGAAGATGAATATTTCTAGAGCCCACACTTTATCTGTTGTTCTCATCCCTTTCTGCCAATTAACCTTACGCTAATACTCAAAACAACCTAGATAGTGTTATTAACTTCATGTTACAGATGAGGTGACAGAGGCACAGAGAGGTTAAGTGACTTGCCCAAAGGCACACCGTAAGTGGTGGAGCCTGGAAAGAAACCTGGGTGATGTGGATCAAAAGCCCATCTCAGAGGGAGACGCAAGAGGGAAGAGATATGGGGATATATGTATATGTATAGCTGATTCACTTTGTTTTAAAGCAGAAACTAACACACCATTGTAAAGCAATTATACTCCAATAAAGATGTTAAAAAAAAAAAAGCGCCCATCTCAGGCGTACTGCCTCTAACCATTAGTCTACAAAGCCTCTCAATTAAGTAAAGTGACTTCCTGGCCCTGAGCCTTGACCTTTTGTCACTGAGGGATGCCTTTGCTTCACTGTCCCTCTCAGGCTCTGCCCCTGTGTTAGGTGGAAATTTAAGTCTAGGTTGGAGTTAAGAGCAGCCTTTTGGGGTTATGCAGGCCTGGGGTCAAATCCCAGGTCTGCTGCTCCCTGGCTGTGTGACCTTCGGAGTCGGCTGCCCCTCACTGTGCTTCTGAGGCCTTTAGTGGGGTTGAACGGGATAATGCATGGGAATACTTGCAGAGAGCAAGCTCTCCTTGACACAGATGGTTATTATGGGTTTCAGGCTTTGGACAGGGTCTGTCCTGAATACAGGGGTCCAGCTGAACTCCACCTCTAGAGTTAACCCAGCTGCAGTGCCTGGGACCAAGTCTGGCCCGAGAGAGGGAGGGGAGGGGGGCACTGTCCCCAGTACTGGGTTGGCCTCCTTGCCTCCACTGACCCATAACCCTGGAGCCTGCCAGGGGCCTTCCTGGTGTAAACTGAGACCAGGCATGGACACCTCTTGCCCCAAACATAGCAGGTGCTCAATAAACAGCAGCCACCTTCACGGACAGCAGCTGCAGCAGCAGAGAGGGCTTCAACTACCGCATCAACAGCTGGTGGGCAGGGCCACCTGAGCTTTGGACATGGACATGAACTTGAGTTCTGGTCCCACCACTTAAATGTGGTGGCACTTGGGACAATTCACTTCAGCACCCTGGGCGTCAGTATCCCTCTCTGCAAATGGAGGTCATGATCACCCATCACAGATGAGAGCTGGTTCTATAAAGCAGTAGTGGACTCGGTGACAGTAGGGGCTGGAGAGCAGTGGCTACTGTTATTCGTGTTAAAATTGTTGCTGTGGCAACCGTTGTTTCCTTTTCTGTGATGTTTCTCTGCCCCTGATGGATACATCAGAGTGTGTAGGGCTCAGAAACAGATGTTCTAGCATCAAAATACAGGGTTCAAACCTCGGCTCTACCACCTCCTGTCTGTGTGGCCCTGGGAAGGTGATACGGCCTCTCTGAGCCTCAGTTTCCTCATCTGTTAAATAGGATTAATAACTGTGCCTTCCAAGGTCTTCGTTAGGATTCAGTGAGATGATGATGAATAAAAAGCCCTAGCACTGGGTCTGGTGTTCAGTGAGCACTGATGGATGAAGCATAACAAGGCCTCTCTCTGTGAGAGGGAGGAAGGAGTGGGTGCTGGTGGGAGGAAGGGGTGAGGAGGGGTAGGTGCTGCCGTCCCCACATCCAGGGAGTCAACCCCTGCCTTCCACCTGCCTCCTTGCTGGGTGCCCTCACCCACCCCAGCTCTGCCCTACACACCAATGTAAGAATAATTCGAGGTGATTTCTCAGCTGTGCATATTTTTTTAAGCACACAGGCTGAAGTAACTGAAAATTGCCCCATTTTATTTAATGTCTTCCTGGGGCCCCCCAAGGCCTCCCCCATACTAGCAGCCTTTAGCCATGGGGAGGCTGCGGGAGGCTGGAACGGGCTGCAGGGGCAACAGGGGAGCAAGGTCGGAATTGGCTCCTTGAGATGGGAGGGGTGATCCCCGGAGGCCAGCTGTCGCCTGACTGTCAGACGGGACAGTCCCTCCTATTCCCATGGCGGGGAGGGGGGCGGGGAGCGGGCGGCAGAGGAGACTCACGTGCGCAGCCACGGTGTCCCCCCTTGGGCTGGAGGAAGCCACTGAGGCTCAGGGCTGGCGGGTGGGATGGGGGCTCAGCCCTTGAGCCGAGGCTGCAGATCTCTGGGCAGGGCGACAGTCACCAATGCGTGGAAGAGAGCGGGTCAGGGGCACCATATCATCACAGCTCGCCCGGATCTCTGCAGGAGCCCCCCACCGGTCTCCCTGCTTCCCCCTTGGTCCCACCGTCTCTGCTCTGCGCCACAGCCAGAGCCCTCCTATTAAACCCAAAGACAGACCATGTCTCGCCTCGTTCAAACTCTCCGTGGCTCCCGCCCCCGGGGGAAGAGTCAGAGTTTCCCAGAGTCTGTGGAGCCCTAAATGCCGACCGCACGCCCTCTCTGACCCCCTCCCCGTCTCTTACTTAACCCTCCTTGCTGTGTCTCCATCACTCAGCCGCACTCCAGCCTATGACCTTCAAGCCTGTTCTTCCTCTGCCTGGAATGTTCTCGTGGGTCATTCAGATCTGAGGTCAAATGTCACCTCCTCGGAGTTCTCTGACCGCGACCCCATCACTCTGCATCCTTGTATCCCGCTTCCTTGTCCTTAGCCCTTCCCACCTCCCGACATTATATTCAAACTTTACCTGTTCATTTATGTTCTGTCTCTCTCCTAGAAGGTGAGCTCTGTGTGGGTGGGACTCTGCTTTGTTCACTGCTGTGACCTCAGGCCTTGAACAGGGCCTGGCATTTGTTGAATAAGTTAGTGAAAATAGAGACTGACAGAGAGATGGAGGGGGAATGATGGACAGGTGGATTGGAGAAAGGAAGGATGGATGGATTAACGGGTGAAAGGACTGATGCAAGGATGGATGGATGGGAGGGATGGATGGGGAGATGGATGGATGGATGAGTGGATGGATGAGTGGATGGATGGATGGATGAGTGGATGGATGAGTGGATGGATGGATGGATGGATGGATGGATGGATGGATGAGTGGATGGAGGGATGGATGGATGGATGGGTGGATGGATGAGTGGATGGATGGATGGATGGATGGATGGATGAGTGGATGGATGGATGGATGGATGAGTGGATGGATGGGTGGATGGATGGATGGATGAGTGGATGGATGGATGGATGGAGGGAGGGATGGAGGGATGGGTGGATGGATGGATGGATGAATGGATGGATGGAGGGAGGGAGGGATGGAGGGATGGGTGGATGGGTTGATGGGAGGATAGAAGGAAGAATTGAAAGAATGGGTAGAAAGATGGGTGGGTAGAAGGAGGGATGGATAAATCAATGGACAGAAGAAAACATAGAAATATGGAAGGGAGACGAGAAGGATGGATGGATGGATGGACGCACTGACAGATGAAGACACAGGCAGACAGACACAAAATCGGGGCAGGATGCGCGTGTGGTTCTGCCTGATAAGGAAGGACCAGAGCCTCCACCGGAAGCACAGGTCACAGCCCCCCCTTGGGGCTCTCAGAACCCTCAAGCCCCAGCCTCCTTCATCCTGCCCCTCCCCTGGGCTCTACCTGGGGCCCAGCCCCCTCAAAAAGTGACACGGAGGAACATGGCAGGTGGGGGACCGGCCCCAGGCTTTATTGAGCAGATTCTGGGGAAGGGTGGCCAGACAGGCCCTCACCCCGGCCCTGGAGCCGCCTCTTCTTGCCCTTGCTGCCCCCCAGGGCGGGCCTGGGCCACTGGGGCCTGGGCGCCCTTCAGCTGCTGAGGAAGCAGCCCCGCTTGTGCCACTTCTGGTCGCGGATACGGCGCACAGACTGCAGCTGTGGCTGGTTGGCGTCCCACTCGTTCCAGTGGCGGTACTCACCCCGCTCAAACACATACTGGCGGCCACGGTAGCCGGGGAACTCGTAGCCAACCCACCTGCAGGGAGACCAAGGTCGGGGTGAGGGTGGTCAGTGTCTAATCTCTTGCCTCCGGCCAGACCGAGTCTTTTAAAACCAGCGTTTGATCATGCTCTCCACCTGCCTAAATCCCTCCCTCGCTCCCCAGTGCCCTGGGGATGAACTCAAACTCCTAATCCTGCCCACAAGATTCTTCACGTAGCACCTCTAGCCTCATCTCTCATTCCTTCTTTATATCTCACACTCCAGCCTGGCTTATTCTATTCTCCCTGAACCTGCATGTCTCTGAGCCTTTACACATGCTGTTCCTTCTGCCTGGAATGCTTGCCCTTGCCTCAACCTTATTTCAACTCCTCTTTCATCAGTATCCTTTACATATCAATTCAGATATCTCCTCCTCCAGAAAGCCCTTCCTGACACCCCCAGGCTGAATCAAGTGCCTCATCAGGACCCTCAGAGCCCCTGTCCGTCCCCCATCACAATTCTGATCACAACGAATTGCAAATACTATTTCCTTGTCTGTCTCCCTATAAGAATGTGAATTCTTGAGGGAGGAATTGTATAGTTCTTGTTGCCCCCATACCCTGACCATAGGTGATAACTTAGTAAAAAGTTGTTGAATACATTATTATCAGGTAGAGGTGGCACCTTTCAAGGCCCAACCCCAGATCACAAGCCTGCAAGTGAGAAACAATCACCTGGACAAAGGGATGGTGATCCTAAGATTGCATTAACAGAGATATCAAGCCTAGAAGGAGGGAGGTGATGAGCCTGCTCTCCTATGTACTACTCAAGCCACACCTACATACAGGCTGGGTTCCCTGGTAAGAAGGACAAAGATTGTGAAAAGGAAAAAATATCTGAGTTCAAGGGCCTAGGGATGTTCAGAAAAGGAGTGAATACTTTTTTTTTTTTTTTTTTTTTGCGGCACCCGAGCGTCTCACCGCTGCGGCCTCTCACGCCGCGGAGCACAGGCCCTGGACGCGCAGGCCGGTACGCCGGCCTCTCACTGTTGTGGCCTCTCCCGTTGCGGAACACAGGCTCCGGATGCGCAGGCTCAGCGGCCATGGCTCACGGGCCCAGCCGCTCCGCGGCATGTGGGATCCTCCCGGACCAGGGCACAAACCCGTGTCCCCTGCATTGGCAGGTGGACTCTCAACCACTGCACCACCAGGGAAGCCCAAGGAGTGAAGACGTTGATGGAGACAGGTAAGGGGGACAGACTCCACTTGGTTAAAAAAAAAGATAAAACTGTCTCTAAGTCAAGGCTTCCTGGATATCCAATGGTACAGGAATGCAAGCAATTGGACATTCGCATCACGGGGGATCTTGAATGGGGCTTTGAGCAAGGTTGGTGTAGACGCACTGACTTGAGTGAAGGGCCTCCAGACCTGAAGGAGCAGGAAACGTCAGCTGTGTAGGAAATCGTGAACAAAGATTCTGTGTGGAGCCAGAGGCATGCCAACTGGAGGACAGGGCAGGGGCAAGAGTGGGATCAGGTCCCTTACGTCCCGTTGATGGCCCGGACGCTCGCCACACGGTCCTGGAAGCCGTGAGCCCAGAGGCTGGGCACGTCATCATCCACTATCTCCATCTTGCGGCCGCCGAAAGCCGGGTTCTCAAAGAGATGCAGCTTGTGATCCAGACCATCCTGGGGGCAAAGACCACGGGGTGAACTGGCTGTTCTCATGCCCAGAACAGGGGGCAGCGAGGCTCCAGGAAAGAATTAAGTCAAATAACGCCCACCCCCAGAGCTGGTCTCCTTAGGGATTTTAGAGCCAGAGAGCCATGAAACCAAGAGGGGCCTTTCAGGTCTGGTTAAAAACTCCGTCATTTAGCAGACAGGGACACCGAGGCACAGAGCGGGTGGCAGGACATCAGAATTATTCATGTAGAATGCCAGCCGAGCCCTCGGCTGAGCTTGTGAAAGGAGCTTGCCTCACGAGCTCCAGGCACGTCCTGCTTCTAGGCGCTATACTCACAATTTGCAGGGGCCGGAGGGACAGGAGGCTGTCACCGCGGTGGCTGTTGGACCACGCGTCCCAGCGAGGATAATCCCCCTTCTCCAGGACATACTGCTCCCCGCGGAAGGCCCTGCGCTCAAATGCCAGCCACCTGCAGGAGGAAATAGGCCTGGGTCGCCTCTGCTGCCCTGGGGGAGGACCCAAGACTAGTGAGGGGGGTGCCCAAGAGCTGCTGACTTTTGACTCTGCACCTTCCCTCTGACGCTACTACTGATCCCTGGTCCTGGTATTGAGGGAGCTGCTGGAACATACTGGGAGTTGAGACTCTGAGTCAGAAAACCATCCTGGGGAAGAGCCTTGAGAATCTATTTTATGTGCAGCCTCTGTGTAGGCTGCTCAGAAACATTTTATTTTATTTTTATTTATTTAATTTAATTTTTTGGCTGCATTGGGTCTTCATTGCTACACGCGGGCTTTTCTCTAGTTGCAGCGAGCGGGGGGCTACTCTTTACTGCAGTGTGAGGGCTTCTCATTGCGGTGGCTTCTCTTGTTGCGGAGGACGGGTTCTAGGAGCGCGGGCTCCATAGTTGTGGCTCGCGGGCTCTAGAGAGCAGGCTCGGTAGTTGTGGCGCACGGGCTTAGTTGCTCCGCGGCATGTGGGATCTTCCCAGACCAGGGCTCGAGACCGTGTCCCCTGCATTGGCAGGCGGATTCTTAACCACTGCGCCAACAGGGAAGTCTCTCAGAAACATTTTAAATGCAATGCCTGGCACACAGTAAGTATTCCATAGACATCTCCTCTTTTTCCTCCTTCTCCTGCCCCTCACCCTCCTCCTCTTATTTTTCTTCTTCTTACTATTATATTGTTAGTGCTATTACGACTATTATATTGTAATTTTTTTTTTTTTTCGGTACGCGGGCCTCTCACTGCTGTGGCCTCTTCCGTTGCGGAGCACGGGCTCTGGACGCGCAGGCTCAGCGGCCATGGCTCACAGGCCCAGCCGCTCCGTGGCATGTGGGATCTTCCCGGACCGGGGCACGAACCCGTGTCCCCTGCATCGGCAGGCGGACTCTCAACCAGTGCGCCACCAGGGAAGCCCTATATTGTAATTATTTATGTGCATCCTTCCATTCATTTTCACAAAAACTCTCTCTGAAGTATGTACCCTTATTATCCCATTTGACAGATGAGAAAATAGAGGCCAAGAGGGTGAAGCACCTTGCCCAGGATCACCCAAGTGGGTAGTACCAGAGCCTGGACTTTCCACCTGAAGAATTCAGGGTCCATCTGGGACTCCTGCTTGCCATGTGGACATGGACAGGACATGTGACCACTTTGGCCTCAGTTTCTTCATCTGTCAAGAGGGATTCAGTGATATAAAGCACATTAGAATTTAGATATTATCATCATTATTAAAACTATTAAATCCCACTAGTAGGCACTGAGCTAGGTGCTGAGTGTCTTCCTCTGTTCTCTGCACAGCGCCCTGCTACTGACCTCAGAGATGGAGAGTTAGAAGGATTCCAAGAAAATCACAGTTCAATGCTCTTATCTTACGGGTGGGAAAACTGAGGCCAGAGATGGGAAGGGAGTTGCCTAAGGCCCCACAGCAGATCTAGAGCTTGATCCTGGACCTCCTGACTTCCAGAGGGCTCAGGGCTGTGAGGAGGGGCCGGGGGTGCAGGTACTCACGGCCCCGACTCCACTTGGATGGAGCCCACCTTCTCCAGCAGGCTTTCTGTCAGGTTGGGGCACTCGGCCGAGAGCTCGCACCGCTTGCCCTGGAAGTTCTCCATTTCATACACGATCACCTGGAAGTGCAGCCTCCTGAGCATCCCACCGGGGCACGGTTCCCAGCCCCAGCCTGTGTCCTGCCAGGTCCTCTTTAGGGCCTTGGAGGGAGGTACTGCCATCCGCTCCCTCAGCTCTGCCTGGTACAGGCCTGAAGCCAGCACCACCACAGGTCTGCCCTGCCCCCTGGTGGCCATGGAGGGGAACACCTCCAGGAACCCCCATTAATCCAGGGATTGCAATTCTGGTATCTGGCCGGAGGCAGTGCACAATCAAGTAAAGCAAAATGACCAAAATAACCAGAGGGATAACTGTAGGGCAATGAAGCCGCTGTGGTTAGGAGGGACTGTGGGCCCCCTTCTAAGCTTTTCAAGAGAAGCCAGAAATCTGTAATTTCCTTAATGTGAAATTTCTCCATTTAAAAAGTCTTGTGCAGGACAAATAAAACACCAGTTTGCAATAGTTGAACGTCACGTGTCCCTATACCCCAGAGGAAGTGGTTGCACAGGCAGAGGAAGGTTTTGCCTCTTTCACCCGCCTAGAAGCACAAACTCTCTTTGTAGCAGGTCCCTGGGGAACACTGGCTCTGGTCATTTTATACTAGGGTCAAGGGAGGCTCAGAAAACGTCCTGGGCTGCACAGCAAGTTCAGTGGAGACATGGATTCAATAAGCCAGCTAGCTCTTTTCTCCCGAGCGATGGAGCGGTCAGGGGAAAGCCAAATGCCAAAAGGAGCCAGGAAGGGGCGGCAGTGATACCCTCTTCTCTGGTGGGCGGCTGCCTCTGGGCAGCTCTGCCCAGGGGGAAGCTGGGGGTCCACAGGGCAAGGCTGATTCACCCACGAATCAGGCCCAGAGCCAGGCAGGCCTCTTTGCTGCTCTTCCCCTCCCGGTGTGCACCCTTCTGATTAAAGCCCCCAGTTATCTCCTTAGTCAATTCATTCCCGGACCCCATCTCAAATTAAAGCCCCCGGGATAGCTTAGAAAGGACAGAGCCGGGACTTCCCTGGCGGTCCAGTGGTTAAGACTCCGCGCTTCCAATGCAGGGGGCGCGGGTTTGATCCCTGGTCAAGGAACTAAGATCCCACATGCCACGCAGCACGGCCAAAAACAAAACAAAAACAAACAAACAAAATGACAGAGCCAACAAATCCTAGCTCTCAGATTCCTCTGTTAGCTGGCCATGGTAATGGCACATGCATTGAGCTCTCACACTGAGAAGTGTGGGTACCATCTCCATTTTAAAGATGGGGCTGTTGAGGCCCAGAGAGGGCCGGGGACTGGACGAAGGTCAGGCAGGAGAGTCAGTGCTGTGTCTCCCAAAACCCGCATTGAGACTGGCAGGGTGCGCGTGACCAGTTCCATTTTACAGACAAGGACATAGAAGAGGAACGATGGGGCAGAGCCATGAAGTGAATTTATCGCAGGGCGGGGACATGTCCTCGTGGTCCAAGCTGGCCAGAAGGGCTGTGGCTCCTTTTTGGAGAGAGGCTGCCTGGCCAGGAGGCTGACCCCCAAGGACCAAGAGCGGCCCTGGGCCCAGAGCCCCCGGGAACCCCTCCCTGCCCGGTACCTTGTAGCCGCCCCCGAGGCCTCCGTGGCTCTTGCCGGCGGCAGCCTGTTCCGGCGCGCTGTGCTGCTCCGCCATTGCCCCAGGAACACCTGTGGCTTCAGTCAAAGGCAAAAGAGTCACCAGGTGCACCTGGGCAAAACCAGGTGTTGACGTGATTGGAGTCGAGGCTGAGCTACAGAACTTGGCTGCCTCTGAGAAGTGGTCATTGCTCACAACCTACATGTGGTCATTCAGTCATTCAGCAAACATCCCCTTAGTATCTACTATGGACCACAGGGACCAGGACAGTCAGGGGGGGTCAGGATCCCCATTATACAGAGGGCAATCCCGAGGCCCAGTGAGGTGGGGCTGGGACTGGGCTCAAAGCGCATGCCCTTCCCCCACACCCGGAGCTCTGCGCTTCCCCCACATGCGGACACAGCACCTCCAGACCCTGCTCAGAGGGTGGGCATTGCCGGGGTTCCCTCTACAGGACTCTCTCCCGCCTCTGCACCCCAAGCAGTATAGTCTTTTGTTCACTGACTCCTTCACTTGCCAAAGATTCCGTGAGAACCCAGTTGGTTTCTGGCCCTGTGCTGGGTGATGGAGAGGAAGAGACCACAGACTGGTAGGAGATGGACAGACAGACAGATATCTAGAGAAAGCATGATGCCGGCCCAGGTCCTGGGACACCGGCTCCAGTCCAGTTTCTCTGCATTCACTTATTCATTTCATATGCATTTATGGAGCACTTACTCTGTTCCAGCCACTTAAAGAGACACACAAAAAGACAGACAGACAGCTCCCCTTCATCCCTAGGGACTGTGCCACACACCACTGGTCCTGCATTAGTCACGTGGAAGGATTCTCTTGATGCTGCACACACAGACACATAGGAGTGTTTTCCTGCTTATCAGCACATGCACAGGTGCGCGCACACACACACACACACACACACACACAAGCTCCCGTGGTCATTGTACACGGTCACTTCCCACGTGTTGCACAAACACAGCCCCTCTCTCTTTCTTGCACACACACATGCCCACTTCAGACATCCACAGTGGCTCAGAAGGCACCTCAGCTACACCCCACATTCCTGGAAGTAGACGGGCTGCGTGGCCCATATACTCAGGACACAGGCCCAGGGATGCGTAGCCTGCGGGCTGTCTGTCTGCCT